ACATTTGGCCCCTGTGATTCTCTGGCCTTGGTACTGAATCTTTCAGGATTCAGTTTTGGTATATTTGGATATTCCTTTAGTTCTCAGTCCATTCCTACCTGCTGTTCTATAGGGACAGGCAATAACAAAAGAGCAGGTGTGAAGATCAACAGAAGGGAAGGAGTGCAAAAATTCCTCAGCAGACCCTGACTTTACTTCCTTTTTCTTCCTGTGGCTCCCACCTTTATCGCAGGAAAATTAGACCTTTATCAAAGAAAGGCTTTACTCAACCACTCTGGAGTCTTTGCACTATCCAATTAGGCTCTGCAGGCAAATTTGGCCCACAGCCGGTCTGAATCTTAGAAGAATGCCTATAATTCTCTTCCCAGAGCACAGTAGATTGGGAGTTTGGGGGAGACTGCTTCAAGACCATATTGCATTTGCCTCCTTATGTCTCCATAGGAAAGCTGTCGTCATCAGTCAGTTTCACTTTGCTTCCAATCATGTGGGTTCTGATGGGACCCAAGGCCTTCTAATCATTTTCTTCAGAATAGATCCTAGAATATAAAGCCAACCCATAGTGTAAGCAGATTTGACTTCTAAGTAATGGAACATTCTCCAACATACACAAAAGTCCTCAGGCCTTTTGAGGGGAGAGCATTCTTCCTGGTATTTGGGGTAAGGACAACCGGAAGCTATACTTTTTAACTGCTGTTTCCTTTCACCAAATCTGAAAAGTCTTCCATTGTATCTTTACCACTGCATCTGTCCGGCCTTGAACTTAGCCTTGCCTTGTGTGTATTTGACAGCTACTTGCTATAAATTTCACATTTCTGGTACATTATAGCACCTTCTTTTATTTCTGAAGAAGCTGAGCTGAACAAACACATGCAAATTATAATGGGCTGTTTCCTGCCAGCTTACATTGCAGGGAAAGTTCCATTTTCTGGGCTTTCTAATCTCACTGGAAAAGTAGCAGATCCCTACTGCGGTGTGAGAGGAGGCCAGCTTCACAGACAGCAGAGATTGCATCTATAATCCATCACTTAAAAGATCCTTTTTGTTCCAAAATGTGTCTACTATAAGCCCCTCACCACATTAGCAGCTGATTGATTGACTGACTGATTATGTACTGTTTTCTTTTCTGCAGGCTGATTTCAAGACAGGCATATGCCACCACATCTGACTTCAGCTGACCCTTTAAAATCTGAAAATTCAGCCAGGCGGTGGTGGCACACGCCTTTAATCCCAGCACTCTAGAGGTGGAGGCAGGTAGAACTCTATGAGTTTGAGGCCAGCCTGGTCTATAAGAGCTAGTTCCAGGACAGGCTCCAAAGCTACAGAGAAACCCTGTCTCAAAAAACCAGATAGATAGATAGATAGATAGATAGATAGATAGATAGATAGATAGAGCAACAACTAAATAAATAAAATCTGAAAATTCAAAATTTCCCTCCTCACCTTGTGAGCCCTGAATTATATAATGAATTGTCTCTTGAAGGTCCTTGTTACTATTTCCCTGGTTTCTGAGAAGAAAGAACATAGTTTACAAGAGCATTCGTTACTTTTTTTTCCCTGTTGTGATAAAAGCAACTCAGGAAAGGGCTTCTTCTGACTCACAGCTTACAGGTATAGTCAGTCTACTATGGCGGAAGTCATGTCAGCATAATTTGGAGGCAGTTGGTCCCGCTGCATCCACAGTGAGAAAGCAGAAAGATCAAAGCTGTCCTAGTCTGAGACCGCAGCATACTACAGAATGGTGCTGCCCAGATTTTTGTTGATCTTTCCCACTTCTACTGACCCCATCTAGGAACTTCCATAGACATATCCAGATGTTTATGAATCTAGACCCCGTTAATTTGATGGTATTAATACATACAGTAGGGATATAAGTTGCCGACAGTCTTCCATTAGTACATTATTGGGGAGTAATTTATCAATCCTTCTAATTGTTTCCCGAATTTAAAGAGCCCAGTTTTCAATAACAATGTTAAGAAAACCTCACGGGAGTGTTGGGTCAGAAGTCAGGGCCTGATAAAGATTGCATATGTGGTGGTGCTAAAGTTACCAAAAACAAACCTTGAAATAGACAGGGTAGCCTTCTTGTCAGTTTGCTGATTGGGTTGTATTCTAATTTTATTTTACAACATTTTCTAAGAATCTACTCTGCACAAGTCCGTATAATACATCTTGGTAAGAGCTTCTACTCTCACATCTATGTGTCTAAGAAATATTTCCTTTCTCAATTACCAATTTACCTTGGGAGCTCAGTCCAGTGCTCCAATGTGGGTCTCTGTCTCTATCTCCATCCATCACCAGATGAAGGTTCTATGGTGGTATGCAAGATATTCATCAGAGAGTAAATTTTTAAGCATAATTTCTCTATTGATTCCTTAGAAATGCCACGTCATGCACCCCAATTCCACCCCCCTCCCAGTCCCTCCATATCTGCCCTTCACTCCTGCAACCTTCCTCCTCACAAAAGAAAAATTTTAAAAATTAAAACCAAACCAAAACAAACAAAACCCACTTTTTCTTTCTCGCCCTCCCCATTCATCTGGGTGGCATTGGGACCTAAGGTGCACTGTGCAGCACACCCTCCTGTCCCATCAGCTTTGCTTGCCAGTGTGCACTGCAAGGAATCACTGGTCTGCTTCAAGGCCTCTGGCACATCATCACCACCGGACCGTCCCTGAAACTCCTCAAGTTATGAAGCTCCTGTGGGTCCAGCTCCTCAGGCCGAGTCCCTCCACACGCTCCAGGAGGTCATAGGTGGGGTAGATGTTAGGGTGGGCCAACCGAAGACCCTGGATGTGGACCTGGGTGACAGTTGAGCTCAGACCCTGCTTTGGGGCCAGCCCCTTAAATGATGGGTGGAGCCAAGTCTCCTAGGCCCACATCAGCAGGGCCAGTTCTCCCTTGCTTGTAGTGAGGGGTGGGGCCATCTCTTCAGAGTACAAGGGGCCAGCTCTCTGGTGTCCAGGTCATTGCGGCCAGCTCTTCCATGAGACTCGGAGCCAGATCTCTTGTTGCAATGTCCAGAGAGGGACAGGGGCAACTTTCTCAAGGCCAGCAAAGGGCAGGGCCAGCTCGGCCTGGCCCCCAGATTTCATCATGCGTGGTTTTGATGCCCCCTGTGCTAACATGGGCCACAGGCATCAATATAGACCCCAGCTGCAGTAGGACCATGAACTTGGACATGGCTCTGGGTAGCAGTTCAGTTCTAGGTATCACCATGACCCCTGTGGCTGCTCGAATTACCCAGATCAGTAGGGCCCCGGTGGCAGCATGGGTCTCAAACACCACCATAGTCTCAGGTGGCTGACCAGACTCCAGGCATCTGTAGGGCCCTTGGTGGTAACAGAAGCCATGGACATCAACTCAGACCCTAGCTGTTATAGGGCCATGGACCCAGAGATACCACTCAGCAGTAGCTCGAACCTGGGCAACACCATGGTCACAGGTGGCAGCACAGACTACTCAGATCAGCATGGCCCCAGTTACAGCATAGCCCTTAGACACCAACATGGCCCCATGTGGCAGCCCAGACCCTGAGCATCCACATGGTCTTCGATGGTAACAGGAGCCACGGCCATCAACACAGACCCTGATTGCAGTAAGGCCACGCCCCCAGACATGGGTTTCAGCTGCAGCTCTGACCCAAACATCACCATGGTACCGGGTAGCAGAGCAGGCCACTCTGTGTGTATCTGTATGGGCCTAGGCTACATACAGTATGACCCTCAGGTACCAACATGGCTTCGGGTGGCAGCCCAGATCCCGGGCACTGGCATGGCCCTTGGTGGAAACAGGAGCCATGTACATCAACACTGACCCTGCTACAACAGGGCCATGGAGTAGATGCTTCTTTTTCTTGTTTTGCCTCTGCTTCCCAAGTGCTGGGATTAAAGGCATGTGCCACTATCGCCCAGTCTGTAAATGTTTCTTAAATGACCAGACCAAACAAGTTACGACTGTATATTCGTATGTTGTGCCCAGCAGTTATAAGAAGACCACTTTGATCCTCCATGCCTGGAATTTCATAGAGAAATTGCATGGTTCAGCTTCATTGACACTCTGATTGTTTCCGTTCCTAGGCGGGGTGGGGGGG